TATATATATATATATATATTTTTTTTTTTTTTTTTTGTCTTTTTTTTTTTCCGTGTCCGGCAACGGATCGCAACCCTCCGTGTTGCCCCCGTACCGGACCGGGGACCGGCAACGGGATTGCAAGCCTCTGTGTTGCACCCGCGCCTCACTCAGCCAGTGAGCGGGAGCCGGTCTGTATGTGGGATCCGAACCCTCGGATGGGAGCGCCGCCGCGCTTCCCAAGCGGCGCACTATCCAGTGCGCCACTGGGCCGGCCCTGACTTATTAGTTTCTTACACGGAAAATAAAAATACGTTTTCCATGCTTACACAAAAGGTATTATATACTTTCTTCTGCCATCTGTGTGGAGGTTGTGACATCTAGCCACTTTCACAGCAACCGTGGTTATTGTGGTGGCTGTGGTGGGCCACCCACATGGAGGTGATGTTTTGGGCATGCTCTTTGGTGCTGGTGGTATGCCTTGTTGTGGGAGGGGTGTCCATTCCCCTTCTCTGTGCCTTGGGTCCCCAGGTGGGCCCCAAGGCACTGGTGTGGTGTGCCTGGTTGTGGGAGGGGGGTCCAGTCCCTGGCTCCATGCCCCGGGCTGGGCCCCCGGCCGGGCCCCAAGGTGCTGGTGGTGTGAGTGGTTGTGGGTGGGGGTCCATTTCCCAGCTCCATGCCTCATGTGCCTCGGTGGGCCCCAGGTGCTGGTGGTGTGCCTGTGCCGGAACTAATTTTTTGTCCTTTGCTTACTTCTAAAACAGGGGAACTTCCTGTGGAAACCAGTACTTGAGCTGTGTGGTTGAGCTAAATTGCTGCTTTGCTGCTGTTTCCCTAGGGAAGGCTTTTTGTGCAGCTCAGGGTTTAATGGTTGACCTTATAGGTACTTTCAGCTCTCCAGAGACCTGGTGGATCTGGGTTGTGTAGAAACTCTGATCTGGACCTGAGTTTTTTCAGCAAACTGCACCCCATGCAATTCTACATTCCTGACCAGTCTCCTCTGCACGGTCCTGCACTGATTGGGGGGTGGATCGGCTGTCCTTGCTGTGTCCCAGTGTTCCCCTGGTGGGCCCGTCTCCCCCACTGCCCATGCTCCAATCACTTCCCATGAGATGGGCCGTGCGCCGGTCCCTTGCAATGACTCACTGGCCTCTGAATGGCTCCCCTGTTTGAACTGTTCTGGCTCCTCACTCCTGCATGGGTCCATGGGAACCCTATTAGTGGTCTTGCTGTCCTGGGGGCCACCAAGGCCCTCTTCTCCCCTGCCACCTCCAAGTAACTCCATCTGAAGTGCACAGCTGCAGCTTCTGCCAGCTCCTGCTCCATGCGCTCAGCAGTTCCAGCCTTAAAACAGCTGCGGCCCCAAACACTCCAAGCAGTTTTTTCTTTCTCTCATTGTAGTTTCTCCTGCCTTCATGAACTCCATAGTTCTCTCCTCCTCCTCCCCTGAGCTCCAGCGGCCCCAGCTTGGCTGATGTCACATTTTTATAGTTGTAAATTGGTTGATTTGCAGGGAAGAGTGATGCTAGGGACCGTCTATTCTGCCTTCTTGACCAGAACTCATTATTTTGTTCTTTTTGATATCTATATATTTTGTAATTTTCAATGTGCTCCAGTTACTTGTGTAAAAATATAAAGTTGCTAAGAAAATGAAAGCTCTGACACAAGTATAATGTTTCATTGTTTACTTTCACCCCAAGAACTGTGAATCCCTGGGGAAAAAATATTATTTTAAGTAGCACTAATTAATCAATTAATATGTATTTTAATGAAATTAGTTCCAACATATTAAAAACTGCACCTCACTACGTATCACTTAGTGGAAAAGCCACATATAAATAATTGAGAGTTTTCGGCTGTGTTGGTCTTGGTATAATCCTCTGCGCGGTCACCTGTCCAGAGGTGTCTGATTCAGCCTTTCTCTCCCCTTGAAGCATCTTCCTCAAAGAGCTGGAGAAGTACGAGCAGCTGCCTGAGGATGTGGGACACTGCTTTGTGACCTGGGTAAGCCACGTGAAATCCTTCTCCCACTGTCTGTGCTTCCAGGAGTGCACATGGCACAACTATTTGGTGCCTGACCCAAGGATTGGTGTCACTGCCAGTCTCACACAGGACCATGGGCTGCAGAGAGGAGCATAAGTAGCTCTGAGAGAAGCAGTCCTTCCTTAGAAATTGTGTTCTGGTTCCATCCTAAGTTAATTAAGAACTTTCCAAAACTGTGAGATCAGGATTGTGGAACAAGATCCTCTGCCACCCTTGGTAGAGGAATGACACCAGCTCAGTCACCTAGTTATTTTTGTAGGATGTTGATTAGGGAATTAGAACTTTTGGAAGCCACCTAACCATTGGTTACATTTTCTTCCTAAATTGGGAAAAACAAGACTCCTTGGGTATTTGTCCCTATTCAGATCTACAAGATGAGTATCTACTCAGCCTTTTTCTTGGTGCTGTTGTCATGGGCCAAGTAAATGGGCTGACTATATAAACTGAAATAGTCTTTATTAGCATCTCCACTCCACATGATTCTGAGCTCAGGCTCACATATGAGTGCCAAGATCTCTACGGAGGTCCACTTAGGACACCGAGTGCAACCACACTTGTAACTCTTTTCTCAGGATCAGGAGTTCCACTACTTAATAATTTCCTAATTACAACTGCCACTCAGAATGGACTAATTACTTTTAAAATGTCTTCATAATTCAGAGAGTTGTTGCTCTCACCAGCCCTGTGGAGTAGGCAGGACTATGGTTATGTTTTAGGCTTTAAAGACAGGAACATCTCAGATGAGATAGGAGGTTGACTAGTCTACTGACGTGTTAAATAAATATCACAATTAGTCTCACAACTCAAGACCTGACTCCCAGACAAGCTTTCTTTTCATGAAATCTTAATGTTTGCTTCCTGGCATACTCTTAGCCTTATTTCTTCAGGAAATCTCAGACTACCATCTTTTTTTTTCTAATATATGTTCTACCTCTAAATATATGAGCCAATGCACAGCTTAGTTTAATGCTGATAAATAATTTATGATCCATCATTACACAGCCAACATAGAGCAAAATAATATTGACCATTAAGTAAAGGGATTTTTTGGGGGGGGAGACATCTTATTTCATGCAACTTGTGGGTTTTCTTTACAATCAACTTAGTAAGTATAATTTATCAACATCTTTTAGGGTTGATGAATGAATGCCTTCTAGGTAGTATACAGCTTCTAAAATTGATTTTAAAAAACTTTCGGTGATTGCATAAAATATGCACCCTTTGCGAAGAATTATCCCAAGGTGACTTTCATAATCCTAATCCTAATCCTTTCATAATTCTAATACATGAGAGTAGTGCAGTAGTGAAGGGTAGAAGGAATTGTTTGTAATGTATTAAAAGGCAATAGTTAAGACTAAGAAGCCTGAAGTCAGATTGCCTGTGTTCTACCACTTTCTAATTGTGGAAATGGAAAGTCACTTAACCAGTCTGTGCCACTGTTTTTTCATCTGTAAAATGGGATAATATAATAGAACTCACTGCATAGGGATCACATGAGGACTTCATGAGTTATTAGGTGTAAAGCACTTAGAACAGCGAAGTCTACTGTAATGAGCACATATTTAGGCAGCTCTGTCAGAAGAGGATATCCCAAATGTCCTATTGGCAGCATTTCACCAATGGGAAAAGTACTTAGTGGCCAAAATATATACATCTTTCCTAGTGAAAAGTGTGTAACACTAACCTAGAGTGTCCTGAGAGATAGAGGAAATGGATTTTCTCCCAGCCAGCCATAAGATTCTCGACTTGAGGTAACAATCTGGTTAGGAATCATTGTTCAGACCCTGCCCCATGTGGTCGCCTGCTTCCTTTCCCCCGACATTGCTTCTGGGAAGTTGGGGGTGACTGCATACCTGCTTCTCTTGCTCCCCAAACTCCCCCCAGTGGAGATGTTTGCAGAACAAGCAGATCTACCTCTGAGATCATATTTTACTTTCATTCTTCATTTTTGTATTTAGAGCAAATGCTGTGCTTTTTCAAGGTGGATAGCACAATTGTAGGTAATCCAAAAAAGGGGATAATCTCTAAATAGATCCTGTCCAACTTCAGAATACATTATGAAATGTGAGTTGGTTTTTCTGCTTCTTTCTAGCACAGACTAGTGTTAAAATGAACTCCAATTGTAGGTAATCCAAAAAAGGGGATAATCTCTAAATAGATCCTGTCCAACTTCAGAATACGTTATGAAATGTGAGTTGGTTTTTCTGCTTCTTTCTAGCACAGACTAGTGTTAAAATGAACTCACTTTCAGCAAGCTTTCTCTACCTGCCAACAGGAACAAAGTATCCCAAAGCCTGCTAGAGGACCATGGGCTGGATAGCACAGAACATTTGCCACAGAAAATTCAGGCACCGATATCTGAGGGTTTAACTGTACAGCCCTTGCTGGGCCTTTCAGGCACAGTGGACAGAAGGGAGCGACTAATGGATGCTTATCTATTATTGTCTCTGTTCTTTTCAGGCAGACAAATTTCAGATGTATGTCACCTACTGTAAAAACAAGCCTGATTCCAACCAGCTGATCCTGGAGCATGCAGGAACCTTCTTTGATGTAAGCTGTGGTTTTCCATTCTTGAGCAATTGATGACCGAGTGCAAATGCTTCCCTGCTTTGGGATGATGGGGGTCTAGCTCTCCTCTGCTTCTTATTTTTCTTTACTGGCCATTCCAAACCTTTATCCCATGGATAAAGCATGGAGAAGAACAAAAGCAGCGTTTGTTTGTCTTGTTTTACCCCATCCCATCTCAACTGCTGTGATTTTGGACAAGGCAGATTGGTCTCAATGCCTCAACACCAAGCCAAACTAGCCATAAATTTCATGTTCAGAGGAAGCCTCCTATGATGCGGCTGTTGGTTGAGATGTTTCACTTCCGCTTCATCTACAGCTCCCTCAAACCACAAACGCAGTGGTTTTCAAAGTGTGGTCCTTGAACCAGCCGCATCAGCATCACCTGACAACTTGTTAGAAATGCAGATTCTTGGACCCCACTTCAGATCTATTGAATCGGAATCTCCAAGATTGGGGTCCAACAATCTGGATTTTAAGGAAGCCTCTGGTTGACTCCGATACCCACCCAAGTTTGAGAATAACTTCTCTAGTGCAGTTGTTTCAACCTTGTCTACACAGTGGAATCACCTGGGGAGCTTTGAAAAATACTGATTCCGGGGATTCTGATGTGATTGGCCTTAATATGGTCTGGGTGTTGGGATTTTTCACAGTTTCTGACAAGTGATGTGCAGCCAGGGCTGAACACTTCTGCTGTAATGGAAGCCAAGAGGAATGACGGCTGATATACCTCCTCAGAGCCTTTGGTTTGGAGTGAGAACACAACCCTGTTGGTGAATGATGGGATAAATCTGTTTAGTGCCAGTCTTCACTGTAGGATTCAAGATGAGCAAGAGGGGAAGATGAAATTAGGATAAAAGGAAAGTTTGGTGAGATACAGACTGTAGAAATGATGGCCATTCTAGAGTCATATCAGAAGGGACAGAAACTTGAAATTCAGAACATTTTAAAGACTATCATTCTGTCTTTCTGCCTACCTGCTTTCATTCTTCCCGTAAATGTTTGGATGCCTACTGTATACAAGATAGTGTGCCAGCCCCCGTGGAAAATCCAAAGGCATTTTAAACATGACTTCCGTACTCCAATTTACAAAATAAACCTTCTCTGAGCATCTTTCTAGCCTGGCACAGCCAGAACAGAAATGAGTCTACAAGTATCTTGTTGCTCAGTGAAGGAATGACTGAATGGGAGAAAGTCAGACAGGGAAATAGTGTACATGATTTTTTTTTAATGAAGCATTAATATGGAAATGGTCCTAGGTGTCCCAAATTGGAATTTGGGGGGGGGGGTTGATTTGGTAAAACAGAAGAGCCCAAGAAAAGTGCTTCTCTAACCTTATATCAGAATTAATTAGGTATCATATTGAATGCTCCACTGTTATCCTTGGTTGATAATGCATTTCTCTTAAGATGTTCCTGGTTGGTTATTCATCAACAGTATCCAGAAGGGCCTTTTTGAAGTTTGAAATACACTGTGCCCTGTCTTCCACGTACCATTTTTCTGACATTTGCATCTTATGCTCTGAGCATGCCTCATGCTCTTCTCTTCCTTATGTTTGCTCACACTGTTCTCGTTGCCTGGAATGAATTGTGTCCCTTACACACACACACACACACACACACTCTCTCTCTCTCTCTCTCTCTCTCTCTTCAGAAGGCTTTCTATCCTTTAAAGGTCAAATGCTGTTTTCTGCGTGAATCTTTCCCTTTCTCTCTGCGTGTACTGTGCTTTGTGTCTCTGTTATAGCATTTGTAACAATTTGCCTTTCGGCAGGTTAACAGTGCCCCTTTCTGTTACACTCACCTCCCTCCACCTGTGAGCCCCTTGAGGCCTGATGGTATGCCTGATTCATATCTGTATATATCTCAGGGCCAGGAGCTAAATTGTATTTCTCTTTAGTCCTATCTTTCTCACATTCCTGTTTCTAGCCAATTTTTCAACTTTGACCAATAAGTCAGATACACCCCAAATTTCCCACTCTACCCCGCGTTTCCAACGTAGTGCTTAATGAGCCTCTCTCCATGATGTGTGAAGGCCAGTGGAAGCCAGAAAGCAAGTCCAGTAAGAGTTCATCAGGTCTGGCCTGTAGGTGGAGCAGGAGAACAGTAAACTCTCTGGGTTGTTCCCAAAGCTTCCCAGAAAGCAAAATCTTTGTAACTTATTTCCTTTCTATCAGAAGGGTTTCCCTAAGTTCTATGCTTAGGAACCATCTGCTTTAGGCCCTCTTTCTGTAAAAGAGATAACCCCTTTAAAAAGGCAGTCTCCTAATATCCATTACTGTAAAGACAACAGAAAATTAAAGTCCTAGAAAGGCCCACCCGTTCACATGATCCAGAGTTTTTGACCCTGACGTGAGAACAATATGGGTGTGATGTCTGCTGCCCTGTTGATTCCTAAGCTTGGTTTGGCTGATCCGGCTCCTGGGGCAGCTCCTCACTGCCCCACGTGTAGCCTTGCCAGAGCTGGGTGTCTTGTCAGAGACGGAAGACTGTCGGAGGGACATTGCTCCCTGTGCTCTCTTGCCAAAGCCCACAATAAACTCACAAGGTCCATTTGCCTGAAGAGAATCCACCTGCCAGCTGTTCTGCCCATCATCCTTGGACAAGTCTTGCTGTGGCTACACACCTCCACGACCACTCTGATCCCAGTAACCTCTCTCAGTTCTCACTGGCTGCAGCACACCCACTATAGTCCCTTGTTGTTCTCTAGTTTACGTGTGTTAAGTACTCCCAGCTAGACTGTAAGCTTTTTGAGGTCAGGGACTAAAATGTGCCCTTCCCTGACCTTCATAAGCTCTAGACTTTGGGGAGTAGGGGATCATTTTGAAGACAGAATAGAAAGTAGATTAAAAGGAGATACTAGAGGCATGAACAGTGGCTGGAGATGAAGTCCTTCACCTGGGCATGAGTAACAAAGGTGATGTCTATGGAAATGTAGAGGAAAGATTTGTCACCAGATATTACAGAGGGGCGATGACTAAAAATGACTATGGTTTCCAGCTCAGGAGTCCTGAAGAATGAGGGAGTCGCTATTGATCACAATTAAAACATTCTTGAGAAATACAGTGATGACATTAAGTTGGGATGTGTTAAAGAGGAGGGATGGTAAGAGAGAGATGTCCTTATGCTATTTTAAGGAGATGGAGGGCAGGTGAAGACTCACCAGGACTCATCAGAATAGAAACCAGAGGCTCATCCTCTGCCTTCCCTTTACTCTCACCTTCCCTCTGTCCCTCTTTCATTTCCCCCATCTTTGGGTGTATTTCCTTTCACTCCCACTTCTTTACCTCTCCTTTACCCTTCTTTGTGTTATTTCCTTCACCACTGTCTTTTTCTACTTTTATCTTTCTCCATTTCTGCTTAATTTCTCTCTCTTTCACAAATCTTTCTTCCCTAAAACTTCTCCCTTTTTGTCTCCTATTTTCTCTGTATATATGCGTCTTGGCCCTCCTGTATCTCTTTCTACTCCCCTCTCCCTGTCTGAGAACGTTTTCTCATAATTGTCTACCTTCTTCTCCTGTCTCCTCTCTTCTCACCCCTCCCTATCCCCTCCCAAAACACACATGCACTTGCCTCCTTATCTAATGGTACCTGTTCCCATCCCTGTAGGAGATACAGCAGCGGCATGGTCTGGCCAACTCCATTTCTTCCTACCTAATTAAGCCTGTGCAGAGGATCACCAAGTACCAGCTGCTCCTGAAGGTACCTCCCTCCCCTTCTCTATCAGCTCCGCCGCACCACTGCCCAGGGTGAGGGAGTCCCAGCTTTCCCCCTAAGGATGGGAAAGCTTCCACCTGAAGACCTTCCTTCTACCTACAGCAAAACTCCAGCAATAAGCCCACACTGGCATTGCTGGCTTGTGGGGTGGGAAAAGGAGAAATGGGAATAGGAATAAGTGTGACTGTTTTCACATCTACCCACCACCACACAACTTTTAGCAATTGCCACCTCAGGCACCGGCTGGCTCTTAGAGGCTCGCTTGTTCCTCCTTCCTAGAGCAGGTTCCTCCTGGTAGCCCCTGCTTTTGGTGGAATCAAGGGTCAGCATCTTAAGAGCAGTGCCAGTTTACATGGGCAGTAGGGGCCAAGGTGGCACCTGCCATTGCCTTAATCTCTGCATTTGTCAAGACTATGCAGTTTTTTTTTTTGTTTTGTTTTGTTTTTTGTCTTTTGTCTTTTGTCCGTGTCTGGCAACGGATTGCAACCCTCAGTGTTGCCCCCGTACCGGACCGGGGACCGGCAACGGGATCGCAAGCCTCGGTGTTGCTCCCGCGCCTCGCTCAGCCAGTGAGCGGGAACCGGTCTGTATGTGGGATCCGAACCCTCGGGTGGGAGCGCCGCCGCGCTTCCCAAGCGGCGCACTATCCAGTGCGCCACCGGGCCGGCCCAAGACTATGCAGTTTTTGAGAGAACATAGTCAAAGGACACACGTTAAAACACAATGTCACTCTTGTATTGTCGGGGCCCATATGTTAGTTCTTCTGGAGCCAACCAGGAGATTTGGATTTTCTTTCAAAATCTTTTTTTTTTTAATTAAATAATTAAATTATGTAAAACACTAAGTAATTTGGTTGATCCTCTCATATAAGGATACACTGACACTGAAAATATGGCATTTCCTCAGAAAGCCTGGGAAATTGATATAGGCAGTTAGATAATCCCCATCTATATTAATTCCTAAAATGTAAGGGTGGAGTTTTCCCTCATTTTTTTTTTTTTGTCTTTTTGTCTTTTTTCCGTGTCCAGCAACGGATTGCAACCCTCAGTGTTGCCCCCGTACCGGACCGGGGACCGGCAACGGGATCGCAAGCCTCGGTGTTGCTCCCGCGCCTCGCTCAGCCAGTGAGCGGGAACCGGTCTGTATGTGGGATCCGACCCCTCGGATGGAAGCGCCGCCGCGCTTCCCAAGCGGCGCACTATCCAGTGCGCCACCGGGCCGGCCCTACATTTTATTTCTAAAATATTGTTGCAGGTTAAGTTTATGAGAATGCAGAATCTGAGACAGAGTTGAGCCTTCTGGATGT